TACATGTTGCACCAAAACTAGCCCCAGAAGCTGTTTTTGTTTTGTGGTGTGAATGTCACCTCTCTCAGTTCCATCTGAAGAACTACCAGACTCAATCTTGGTTGATATCCACATGTGCTTTTGCAGAGGAGAAATAGTGAAAGATGTGGGACACATTTTTAACAGAGCCAGTAGAATTGCACTAGTGATTTGTGAAATGAAGTGCATTAACTAAACTAGACAATACAGATAGTATAATGAGGTGAAAGCATATTAGGAGTCCAGTGATATGAGTCCTTCAGAACTTTTCTGAGCCACCAGACTTACAAGCAGTGTCTGTGTTTACCTCCCAGGGATCACAAAGCTAGCTAATTTGCAAGCTCATGCTATGACAATCAGATGTCTTTCAGCCCATAAGGAATTCCTGCTTCTGATGACACTATCTGTTTATCTACCTTGACCCTCATTCATTCATGTGCTAGTGGCTGGGTAGAGAATGCACTTTTTATTGAGTATACATTTTGAGTGCACATGAACATGTTGCCAGCTCCTTTCAGGTTCTAGTCTGTTAGCCAGTGGTGGCCAACCACGACTGGCTAACAAGTAATTCAGTTATATTATGGAGACTCCAGCCTCACAATACTGTCAGAGTCTTCTCTGTGTTTATGAAACGCTCTGCCTTGGGAGATATTGGTGGTGTGTTCTCTCATTAGATTCTGAAAACATCTTTATGCCAAGTGTTTCCAACACAAACATTTTTAAATTCCCCTGGTGGGCCTCCCTTCACTGAAGCTTTAGGTTCTGAAAGGAAAGACAGACAAAGTCTTGGACTCTGACAGCCAACATCTCATCCCCAGGAACCTCTGCCACCAACTTTTAAAAAGTCTTTTAAACACCCCCTTTAAACTGTAAAGTGTGTATGAGCAGGGGCTGCGGGACTATGTCTTGTTTACTAGGAGGACCAGTGCTCCTGGAAGTTCTGTGGGAATGTGGAAGACCCCCAAATATGGTGCTGGGAGCTGGGTGTAGCCCAGCTGAGAGATGGTTCCTTTCCCTGGTTTGATGCAATTGCCATCCTAACCCCCAAGCCTTTTCAACAAAACCCCAGACCGGCATACACAGGCTTCCCTTTGTTTCTTCAAAGGGCTTAAAGTGCCATGGAAGTGGGTGGATATAATGTGAAGATGTTCGTGCCACCTTTTCTTAGCAGTTCTAACATACATTAGAATCTAGCATATACTGGAATTAACATACGGTATTAGAATCTGGAGCTGTTCTGGCCTAGATTACATTTCTCTATCTCTTACACAACACACATACAGAGGCAAGCTTTGGCCAGGCAGGCATGAAAGATTCCAGAAGGCCCCTGCTGAGGTGCCAGCTTGATGCCAAAATATCATACCTGCAGCTAGCAATTTTGGTTCCCAGGGCAAGTGGCACAAACCATTCTCTCCTAAGGCATGGATGTGAGCTACCACCAAACACAAACATTTATGCTTCTTCTCCCCCCCCTCCCAAAAAAAAGCAAATAGGGTTGGGAAGAGTTGTGACTTCCTTTCCTAACATTCGCCAGTAGACTGACCTCTAGAGTTTGATGAATTCTCAATTTTGTCCCCCTGGGGCAAAGTGCCAATTACTCTGTAGTAGTTAGCTTTGGCATTTAAGTTTTAATACCAAAGCTGACAACTGCAGGGCCATAACTAACAGGGCAAGTGAGGCTTTGCCCCAGGAGGCCAAAATCCAGAATGGAGAACCATTTTTGTTCCTTCCAGCTACCAGCAGTGTTGCCACACTACAATCTTCTGCCAGGACGGAAACCATGCTTCTACCCATTTTCATGAGACAGAAAGGGAAGGGAAGGGAAAGAGGGGGCAAGAAGTTTAGCACAGCTGTAGTTCCAGGCACCATGGATAAAATAGTTGGGCATTGCCCAATGTGTCAATAACATTTTGCTATTACAGTGGTGCCTCGCTTAACGATTATCTCATTAAATGACAAAACCGCTATACGATGACTGTTTTGCTATCGCTTTTGCGATTGCAAAATGATGTTTTAATAGGCAAAATGCGCTTCCCGACGATCGGTTCCCTGCTTCGGGAACTGATTCTTCGCTAGACAATGTTTTTAAAACAGCTGACTGGCAGCTTCAAAATGGCCAACCGTGGTGTAAAATGGCTTCCCGCTGTGTTTTTGGACGGATTCCTCGCTTTACCTGCACCGAAAATGGCCACCCCTATGGAGGATCTTCACTGGACGGTGAGTTATTCAGCCCACGGGAACGCATTGAACGGGTTTTCAATGCGTTTCAATGGGATTTTTTATTTCGCTTAATGAGGATTTCGCTGGAATGGATTATCCTCGTTAAGCGAGGCACCACTGTATTTAAATCATCATTGTGCAAGTCTTCAGTAATCTCTTAGCCCTACACAAGACAGAATCAGCCCAAGTATATTTTCCAGAGTTAGATCAGGATATTTTGCTGCCTGGCATAAAAGACACAATGCCTCTTCTTCCCAGACACTCCACAATATACAGGCAACTGGATGGAATTGCGCACCATGCCTCAAGGCAGAAGGATCAATAAGGGGTGGGCACCTACTGTGTGACACATCCCCTCTGTGTAGGTAAAGTGGTTATAGAGGCTCAGGAGGAAAAGCTGAGGCCTCCTATTGCTACATACTGCTGAAGGAATTTTTTTGCTTGGAAAAATTACTTTTTTAGACAGGAGTTTCCCAAAATTCTCTCATTCAGCCATGACAGTTTTCCAAGCCCTGCCTCACAATCAACTTGCCTAATGACAGAGCTGGCTCTACAAAATACACTGACAGTCCTCACCACTAAGTAATGTTAATTGAACCTTCATTTGGCTCCAACGGGCACTACCTAGTGGGCTTTCTAAACTTTCACCCCAATTTCCAGGTGGAAGACTCTGGATTTTTTGTGTCCCCCTTTTCCCCAGCCAAACAGAATCATTTAGTTTCAAGGGAAGGCCAAACAAGAAAGTGTATGCATAATGCCTGTGCTTTTTAAAATTATTTAATATTCTTTTAAAAATTTGCAGTAACTGGGGTGTGATAACTAATCAACAGCTTCCTCAGCTGTAACTTGAAAACCCCACCTCCACTGCAGCCCCTACCTTTCCTAACTTACATCTAAGAAACAAGCCTGGGAAATTCATCTGAAATGTAGTTTGGGATTCTCAGTTCTCTGCACTAACAACAAGATACCGGTGCGTGCCTGAAGAAGTGGGCATGAATCCATGAAAGCTAGGAGACCGTATGATATTTTTAGTAGTCTATAAAGGTATCACCGACTCCTGTATTGTATTGTGTAAGAACCATACGGTTCTCTTTGATTTCAATCCTAATGTTGTATTTTATGGAGCTTTTTCTCTGGATTAAGCAAACTGAATATAGTAGACAATACCCAATTACATCTAGTAAAGTGTCACATCAACAGGGGGACACACAGAAGAACACAAGACTTTGCAACAATACCGGAGGTTCTTTTTACAGCAGCTGCAGGTCAAGGCAATGGCAAGTTGTACCATATTATAGTGTATTCCATAAGAGAGTGGTTTTGAAGGGGCAACGTTCAGGGAGACATTACTTTTGCAGGAGATTCTCCCTCTGCCCAAGGGAAAAGAAGAACTGTATAGCAGGTGTTAGTGCTGTTCTCATCACACCTGTTTAAATGCCTGAGGAGTGAAGCTCAAATGCCTATAGAATTTATGAGCCCAGAATCATGTGTATTGAAAAAAATATATATCTTAAGTTACAAGCTGAGGTTCCAGTGACAGCTGGGGGTGGAAGGGATTTTGATGATAGAGCCAGGTGGGGTGGGGGAGAGAATGTGGAGAAGCTCACTTGCCTCAAAACGGGGCTGTTATCGCTTCCCTTGTATGAACCTGAATTGCTGCTGCTGGCTGAAGAAGCCCCATAATTTGGGTGAGCGCTAATGGGACTCAACTGATTTTTGCACAGGATTGACAAGAAGTCCTTTTCACGGGCTGTCGTAGGAGGACTAGACCCAGCCTTGTATGACACGGATCCATTATTCCGTCCATGAGGCCCCCGACTGGAAGGGACGACAAAGACAATAGGTTATAACACACCATGCAAAATACATATTAGAGCTGCTGCAGTTAGTTGTTTAATCAGACACATGCACCAGTTAAACACTTTTTAGTCCATTACAAAGGCACTCCCGATAAATTGGGCAGGAGACATTTGCTTCTACATACATGTATTTATTAGATAACTAACATGAAAAATATTTGAATGCCATGCCAAAACCTTTCAGTTTCTGCCTTTATTTAGCCGCTCTCAATAAAAATATACTGTATCCAAGGTGGAAGCTAACATCTAGCATTCTTTTAATCAGAGCAGCTGAATAGAAAAAGTCTTATTACTCAAACATTCCAGGGTTTTTCAAGGCCCTCTGATAAATTTCTGGCTAACTGCGTCCTTCTGATGTCCTGAAAGACCCGTCCGAAACACAATTTAATGTTCTAAGAATCAGCTGAATACACACTAATTACACACACACATTGAAAATAATAGCAGGACTTAGCAAAACTTCATTTCATAGTCATCACCTTAGCCTGCTGACCCACATGTGCATCTTCCAACACACAGTGACAACATGTGCACAGTGTGCCCCTCCCGCTAATCTATTTACAAATCTTCAACAAACCACTTTTCACCAGTTTCACTGAAAAAAACATTGGGGGGGGGAATTATTGGCTGCCCTTCCAGGAGAGAAGGAGACAATCGGTTATCAACGATAAGCAAACTCTACGGTGCAGGAGAACTCTATTACACCTTCCCACACCACCAGAGAAATGGCCACTCTTGAATTTTGTTGGTTACAATGCAGTTTCTAATGAGTTATAGGCCATCCACTATTGCTCTCTGACCTCTTCAAATGATCCACCCTTGTTATAAGAGCCAAATCTGTGTTTCCTCCTCATAGCTGTTGTTTTACTTACATGTGAATGTATGCCAATCTAACCCAGCCATGCTCAATGGGGGCCACATGATCCCCTAGGGAGCCCTGAATGGCACACAGATTGGAAACCGTTTTTCACACTCTATAAAGTATGTTACATGACTTATACAATCCTGATTTGGCCTGTATTTCTTTCATATTGTGT